GCCTCATTGCTCTCCCCAGCAGGAGCTAGCCCTGCTGAGGGTGTCTTCGATACCCCTTCGCTAAAACTTCGTCGGAGCTCCTGCCTCCTCATTCTATCCTCTATAGTGAGAGACTCCTGAAGGAAAATCCCTCCCATCCCACAGAATAGAGGCGCAGGCAAGGAGCTCTCAACACAACACGTGCAACTGTGCAATTCGACCTAACCCCGCCTCAATCATGATTGGTCAATAATGGGTTTTCGGTAACTAAACACAATACAGTTTGGTAGTAAAGGCTCGCATAATCAGATTGGAAGGGTCTTTACTATAAAATTTACAACTTGTTGGGATTTCTCTCTCCCCCCACTTTTTCTTTTTTCCCTTCTTTTGCCACTATTTGCCGTTTTTACTTATAGCTTTCTATTCCTGTTTACTACATTTTCATGCTGCTTTTAATATGCTCATACGTTTCTTTCGGAAAAAGTTTCTTTTGTGATCGGACACTTTTTTACATTTCAAACTTGTGGTATCTTTCTGTAAAGTAGCAGGTTCTTAACGACTGTTGTTCATCCTTCACTTGATATTCCTTTTGCAAATCAAACTGGTAAGGACCCCTTTCCAGCTGGATGAATCGCATTCTAGACACTAAGGTTAAGAATGCACTGAATGCTGGAGAAAATTTGGTTTCAAATCACGCCTTCAGCTCTAGAAAGATCACGATGAAAACTGTGTAAAAATTCCTCATTAGGACGAACCTCTCACCTACAAGGATAGCACAAGAGACGTTGTTAAGTCGAAAAACGGTCTAGGTAGGGCATGATAGGGGTTCGAAGCAGGCATAATCGATGTGCATACCCAAGGACGATGTACTGCTTAGCTGCAAAAAGGCCAATGAAAAGGGGAAAAACAGAATCTTATGATTCGGGCTTGAAGGAATTCGAATTTTGGGACCACACCAAGGGAGGAATCAAAATATAAAAGGTATTCAGCAAATATACGATAATCGACCTAGCCTAAAAAACAGCTCAAAATACAGTTGATTTTTAACCTAAAACCATCGCAAGTATGAGATTTGGGAATACGCCGAATAAGCCGTTTTCCCTCAAAATTACAAGCAAATATTTCTCCGAGCAAATCCTTAACTTTAGTCCAGAACGCAGTGATTTAGACATAATGTACAGGGGCTTGCTGTGTGCAACTTAACGCGTGAAGAACGAATTCAATCGCGACCTGGGGCGAACGGATAAGGGAGACTCAAGAAAAGGGGCCGGCATCCCTTCAGTTCCTTGACAACTGTCTAACCACAGATTCGAGCGCGTAGAGGCAATGCCGGTCAATGTAAGCTTCGCATCACTGGAAATTAAAGCAACTTTGCATTGGAGCACATGATGAAATACTACAAAACACTTTTTTTACATAATTAAGAGTGGTAAGTGGAGACACACACAAGCCGCACGTTCCACACACCCACCGTGTTGATATGGTAGAATAGCAACTTACATAAATAAGAGTGGTGAAAGCGGACACGCCCACTTGCCCCACGTTCCCTCCCGCCGCGTAAAGGTGGTAGGCGAGCGAGATTTTTATTGCGGTACATACTTTAAGTGTGTCGTCCTAAGACTTTTTTGAATAGCGTAACTACCAAAGAGCACGAACCAGACGTGGTTACCTTTAAATCATCCAAGGATATTCAATCACTCGAAAAATCACATGTTCTATCTGCATTTTTTCATCACTCGAAATATTTGAAAAACGTTTCACTCGACTTCGATTTGGCTTTTTCATTGCCTTACCAAATGTTCAAACAGGAAAACAAAGCAGTGATAGGCAAGAATAAGTTATAACTCATATTAGAAATCTCGGTGACATGGGGGGGGGGGGGGGGGGGGGGGGGGGAGG